TACTAATTTTCATGTACTTGATTTTTCTACTTTATATTCTGATGTTCATTCCCCATTAGAGATAACTTTGGCGAGCACTAAGCAAGATGTTGAAAACAATCAGTGTTTAAATGCTGGAACAGATACATGTAACGTCCAGAAAAGATCAAAAAGTGGGACAATGATAAAACTTTGGATTTTCAAAATGGGATAGATGTGGAAGGGGTATACGCTCTAATTGAAGAAATTGATAAAGTTGAAGCAAATATGAACAAAAATGAATTGAACATCATTGTAAATAACATGTGTGACTTATTTTTGGACTCTGCCAAGGCAACATTTGGGGTTACTAAAACTAGTGGTTCGAAGAAATCTAAAAACAAGCCAGAAAAATTGGATAAAGAATGGTTTGACAGTGACTGTAAATTTACTCGCCAAAATTATCGCAAGCTCAAAAGAAAATGTAAAAACAATAGATCAGAACAAAACTGCCAAATTATGAAATCTTCGGAGAAACAATACAAAAAAACTTTAGATAAAGCAATTATTGCACATATAAAAAAATGGCTAAAAAAATAAAAGTATTGAGATCCAATAACTCAAAAGAGTATTGAAAATTGTTGAACAGTAAAAAAAAAAAAGAGACCAACCCGACATCCCTATTACTTAATTGTTCGTTTTTTTCAAAAATTTGAACGCGGCCCCAGATGATGAAGAAAATACAAATATTCCAACTCTAAATCCGAATGATGTTGACAGGCTTAACGAAAATTTAAACACGAGAATTTCAAAAGACGAAATTCTTAAGGGAATTAAAAACCTGAAAAATGATAAAGCCTTTGGGGATGATCATATAATAAATGAATATATCAAGTCGACATCTGGCTTATTCATTGAATTATACGAAAAAATATTCAACGTTTTATTTCGCACTGGTATTTTTCCTGACAGTTGGTTAATTGGTTACATTAAGCCTGTTTATAAAAATAAAGGTAGCAAGTTGGACCCCAAAAATGTTAGACCTATTACCATTTTGAATTGTATGGGGAAACTTTTTACCGCAATTTTATGCGAGCGACTAAATCTTTTCTCTGAAGAATTTATGATTTTAAACGAAAACCAATGTGGTTTTAGAAAGGGTTATTCAACAATTGATAATTTATTTGTAATTCATTCATTGTTTGAAATTTTAAAATTAAAAAAGAAAAAAATTATTTTGTGCATTCGTCGACTTTAAAAAAGCGTTTGACACGGTTTGGCGAGACGCACTGTGGTATAAAATGCTTTTGAATAATATGAATGGATGTATGTATAATGTAATTGTTAATATGTATCAAGGTACTAAGTCATGTATTTCATATAACAATTCCATGTCTGATTTTTTCCCATGTAGTAACGGGGTTAGACAAGGCGAAAATTTATTGCCTTTCCTTTTTTCTCTATTTTTGAATGATCTTGATTCATTTTTGCAAACCTGTAATATAGAGGGCCTTAAATCAGTGTCGACAGAGCTTGAAGAAAAAGTTAACATATTTTTAAAACTTTTTATCATTTTGTATGCTGATGATACTGTGTTGATGGCTGAATCCGCAACTGAACTCCAAAACTTATTAGATTGTTTTCTAGATTACACAGATGTATGGAGGCTAAAAGTAAATGTTGATAAAACAAAGGTCGTGGTTTTTTCAAGAAGACGACCAACATGTAATTTTCAATTTTTCTTTAATGAAAAAAAACTGGATATCGTTGATGAATTTAACTACTTGGGCATTATTCTAACAAGAACAGGCAATTTTAATAAAACAAAACAATTTAACGTAGAAAAGGCCACTAAGGCTCTTTACGAAGTGTTAAGACAAGATCGTCTTCATAATCTTTCTATATGTAGTCAGTTGGACTTATTTGATAAAATGGTGAAACCAATATTACTGTACGGTTGTGAAGTATGGGGTATTGGAAATAATGACATAATTGAAAGGGTACAACTGAAATTTTGTAAATTATTATTAGGTCTGAAAACATCAACACCCTCTTACATGATTTATGGGGAGCTTGGAAGATATCCTATAGACTTGGACATTAAAACTAGATTGATCTCATTTTGGGGGAAATTAAATTCTGGTAAAGTGACGAAACTATTATATACTTTATATAAATTGTGTTATTACATGTCTATTTATAACAATGTGAATTTTTCATGGTTAAACAGGGAAAAGACTATTTTAAATGAATGTGGTATCCCAAATGTATGGAAAACACAGTCATTTATAAATTGCAAATGGTTAGTTTCATTCGTCAAGCTCAGACTTAAAGATCAGTTTGTACAAGTCTGGCATGCACTGCTTGAAAACTCACCAAAAGCACTTAATTATAAACTTTTTAAAGATTTTTTTGGAAAAGAAGATTATTTTGAAATTCATGGGAACAAACTATCTATTGATTTGTGTACATTTAGGACCACAAATCAAAAGCTCCCTATTGAACAGGGTAGATGGACCAATATAGTTAGAAATAATAGACTGTGTCTTCTATGTAATAAAATGACATTGGTGATGACTTTCATTACATATTAAAGTGTAAATACTTTGAAGAAAACAGGAAACATTGTATGTCACATTATCATTTTAAAAATGCAAATATTGTTAAATACAAGCAGATTATGTCTTCAAAACACAAATCAAAACTGATTAAACTTTGTAAATTTATAAAGATTATCAACACAGGTATATGTGCTCCTGGCTAAAATGTATTTCATATATTGTCTTATCAATTGTCTTGTTTGTTCTGTCTTATTGTAAATATTGTACATACAAATGTCTTCTCCATACCTATGTATATGGTTTATTGAGAATAAAGATATATACTAATGATGATCAAATGCAATGCTAAAACTATGTTGTAAGCTTACACGAATATTTTACACATGCTATATATACATGATATATATTGTTTATGAAACTTAAAGAAATTTAATGTGTAATTTAATTAATTACTTTAGTAAAGTAATTGTAATTTAATTAATTACATTTCAAAAACTGTGTAATGTGTAATTAGTGTAATTGATCATTTTTGCAATGTAATGTGTAATTTAATTAATTATATTCAAATGTAATTAACCCCAAGTCTGACCACAAAACACGACAATGTAGGTGTACTGTTTAAAAAAAGGATATCTACCACAAAACACACCAATGTAGGTGTACTGTTTGAAATAAAGGATATCTACCACAACACACACGAATGAAGGTGTACTGTTAAAATAAAGGATATCTACCACAAAACACACCAATGTAGGTGTACTATTAAAATAAAGGATATCCACCACCAAACACATCATAAATCTATTGAGAATTTATATTTATACCACACATTTTATTCTAATTGAAATCATTCAAAGTTTCCCTTGCAGTTTATATAGGGACAGCACACAATAGTGTGACTAGAAATAACAAGCTTTTAGAAATATCAAAAATATATTAATGTAGCTCTCAATTTGTAAAGTTATGTTGTTATAATTAGATGAAACAGACAGTGAATTTGAAGATGAGGTTGATGAAAAATGCAATGAAAATATAGATGTTAGAAAGGATGACACTGATAATAATGTAGATGATGATGATGAGGAGGAGGAGTTAGAGGACAGTTTGAATGACAGCCAAGAATCACAGAACAGGTATACGTAAACACAATGGGGAAGATATCCGACAAAATTGAATTGTTTTAATCTATATTGCTATCAATTTCTGACATTCTCTGGAACAAATTTTGTTCATTATGAATTTATTTAAAATAATGATATAATTGGGTGTTTTGTTTTCATATATGAAATTATAAGACCAAAGTTTTGTTCTCTGTCAGTAAAATTATTTTATGATTTTAGAATAAGCATTTGAAATTTTAGGATGACAATGAATATCTATGCAATACAAAGAGTAAACAAGGTTTAAACAAACCAAAGATAGCAAATAAAAGTACTCAACTGTGGCTAAAAGCATCTAAATGATTGTGGCTAAAACTTTAGAGTGTCTTCAATTATCTTTGTTCTTGGCTTTATGCAGCGGATAGTATCTTAACATAAAATTGCTTTAACATACTCAGATATGAATGGTAAAAACAAAACTATCAAATGTTTCATAAATATTTTCAGTGATTTAGTAGAGGAGAGTGTCATGGTGTGTACAGGAGAAGAAACTCAGCCTCTCAAGATATTTATGTAGATCAAAACATAGCTTAAAAAACTCTTAACAACATAAACAGATATAATTCCTCTTCACTTTCTTCAGGTACTATTTTAAATAAAAGATAATTAATAATTAATCTGTATACTGTGGATTCATTTATTATCATGGGTACCAATTTTCTTGGATTGAGGGAAAGTTGTATCTGCATGGATACTTAATTTTGTGGTTAAGGCAAATTCTGATCATACTCTTTTAGAAAATTTAAATTTCTTTGAATGTTTAAATACATAGTTCACCTACACCTGCAAAATCCACAAAAATTAATACCCCATAAATGATAATGAATTCAAAATATTAAAAGAAAAACATATTGCAGAAATTTGGAATCGATATCTCCTTATGAAGCAGCAGCAGCAGTATGGTCAGTTTTGGTATGTGCCATTTTTTTGGACACCAGGAACTCTAATGATGTGCAAGACAGTGTCAATATGTTATTATATGATATTCGAATTTGAGCTCATATTCCCTTTAAGTGTTTTTTATCCCCTGAGCAATCAAGCAAAGAGGAGATGGGGCACAGACAGGGAATTTGAAACCTTATCTTATTTAAAGCCAGAATAACAATTATATAATACAAAAGTGTCCAGATTTGACATAAATTGCTATTTTTGATCTTTACTATTGTTCATCAGGTTTACAGGCTCATCTACTGTGTCAAGATAACCAATCACAGGAACCAGATATTTAACTCCTGTATAATAATTGTATTTATGTTTGTAGATTTAAAAGTTCACAAAAATTACACTTTTTACACATAATACATACACTATGTGTTTCAGCCTGGGGAGAAGAGTTTGAATGAAAAACTGATGGAATTTATCAGAAAACAACCAGATATACAAGTCAGAATTCTTATGTATGAGGTAATGTGCTATTATTGTATTTATACCAACACTTACTGCAGCAGGGTAACAAAGTAGCAGTATATACTTTCATATGAGCATCAGCACTCTCAGCAAAATCAGGAACTGAATTTTAATGAAACCCATTTAAGAATCTTTTAATAATATCAAATTGTATTTTGCACTTTCTGTATTTTTTTTGGTCCAAATGGTTTTTGGGTAAAGATTGCATGAAATGCAATCAAAACCCTATGGGACTGACTTGATATCAAAATCTTCCAAGGTTTATCACTACTTTTGAGATACACAAAATATAGTGCATTGGTCATAACATTTTATACATTCTATCTTTAAACATTTCCAGAAATTTATCAATTAAATATAAGCTCAGATATTAAAGTCACAAAAAATGTTATACTTGTCAAAAAAATTACATAACTTTTGCAAGGTGCAGGAATCTAATATCTGTTCTAAAAATATCAATGATATTATTTTTAAAGTCATCTTTAAAAATTGGAGTTATCTTCATTTGTCCAGAATTGTAGTTGAATCAACTACAACCAATGCTCTATACAATGCAATATTTAATTTTACTTCCCACTGATAAATTAAAGCAATCTTTACCCTTCAGTGCTTACTTGTTTCCCATAGCAAATCTTTGTGTATAAGATGGATTAAGACTCTTGGAACCCCAACTTTTAAACTGCTGACTTGGTTTAGTGAGACTATCGTAGAATATGTGCTACATAATGTCATTTTGTGTCTCATACTTTAATTTTTAGCTCACCGTTCCTTCGGAACGGTGAGCTTTTGCCATCACTTGGCGTTCGTCGTCGATGTCCGTCGTCGTCCGTCTAGTGTAAACTATTTCAAACATCTTCTCCTCTGAAACTACTGAACCAATTCCAACCAAACTTAAGCTGAATGATGCTTAGGGTATCTAGAATAAAGTTTGTGTTGTATTTACTGTTTCGTCAAATAACATGGCCGCCATGGATAAAAATAGAACATAGGGGTGAAATGCAGTTTTTGGCTTATATCTCTAAAACCAAAGCATTTAGAGCAAATATGACATTTGGTTAAAGTGTTCATTAGGTGAAGTTCTATCATCCCTGAAATGTTCAGTTGAATTTGATAACCCATTGTTGGGTTGCTGCCACTAAATTGGTAATTTTATGGAGATTTTGCAGTTTTTGGTTATTATCTTGAATATTATTAATGATAAGATAAACTGTGAACAGCAAAAATGTTCAGCAAGGTAAGATCTACAAATAAGTTCATATGATCAAAATTATCAATTGACCCCTTAAGGAGTTATTGCCCTTTTAAGGACAATATTACACAATTTGTTTATCATGTTTTCTAACTTTAAAACATCTTCTTCTCTGAAACTACTTAACCAATTCCAACCCAACTTAAGCTGAATGATTCTAAAGGTACCTAGAATACAGTTTGTGTTTTATTTTCTGTTTCGTAAAAAAACATGGCCGCCATGGCTAAAAATAGAAAGTAGGGGTAAAATGCAATTTTTGGCTTATATCTCAAAAACCAGAGCATTTAGAGCTAATCTGATGAGAGGTAAAAATGTTTATTAGGCCAAGTTCTGTCAGCCGTGAAATTTTCAGATGAATCTAATAACCCATTGTTGGATTGCTGCCACTTTATTGGTAATTTTAAGGAAATATTGCAGATTTTGGATATTAACTTGAATATTATTTATGATAAAGATAAACTGTAAACTGCAAAAATGTTCAGCAAAGTAAGATCTACAAATAAGTGTTGTATGACCAAAATTGTCAATTGTCCCCTTAAGGAGTTATTGCCCTTTAAAATCAATTTTTCACAATTTGTTTATTTAGTTTGCTTACTTTTAAAAATCTTCTCCTTTGAAACTGCTGAATCTATTTCAGCCAAATTTGGGCTGAATGAGTTTCAGAGTATCTAGTATAAATTTTGTATTATATTTTCTTGTACGTCAAGAAACATAGCCACTATGGCTAAAATGAAACATAGGGGTAAAATGTATTTCTTTGATTTTGAAGAAAATATGGCAGATACAAAGAACATTTCAATGGAATTAAATGATATATATTGAAAAGCAAAATTAATCATTGATGAAAGATTTAAGCAAAAAATTACAGGTGAGCGATTCAGGCTCTTGAGAGCCTCTTGTTTATTCAAATAATTTTCGGATCAAAGGAAAAACAGAACAAAATGTAAAACAAGTCAAACAAGAAAACTTATGGCCTGATTAATGAACAAAACAATAAAAGAAAAACGAATTTAATATACAGCAACAAAAGACCACCACTAAAAAGTAAAATAACAAAAATACCAAACTCTAAGGAAAATTCAAAACGGAAAGTTTGAAATGAAATGGCAAAATCAAAAGCTCAGACACATTAAACGAATTTATAATAACTGTCATATTCCTGACTTGGTGGATTAAACCTCTCACTTGTATGACAGTCGCATAAAATTACAGGCTCTTGACACTTACATACAGAATATTGCTCGGTTAAAAATGTTTGTGGGAGCCCAACCCTCCCCATAACTTGGGACATTGGTGTAACAACACAACGTAAGAACATACTAAAAAAATCCTGTAAAAAAGGTTGACTTCATAAGACTTCTTGCTGCATGATTTGGAATTTCTGTCATTTCCTAATTGAAATCCATTGATTTGCTTGTTATAGAGAAGAAACGTAAACAAGTTGTAAAATTTAAGATTTGGACACCTTTTACAATATTTATCAATCTGTATTAAAGAAACTGCAGTCAAGCTTGATGTCTGTATCTGTCTTTCTGTCCAGACTAAACAACACCAAAAAAAGATTTCTTTTTTTTCAGAAAAAAATTTCAAAAATGGAAGCTATTGTAAGTTATACTTACCAGTAGTTTTTGTCTTAAGATTTTTAGTGAAATTAATTGTTGAATTTGTAGGTAGATTTGTATTTTAAGATTCAATATTCTTCATTGATATTTGTTAAAGTGTTTTTGTATGTTAAATGTACTATACGAAATGATATACAATGTTTAGTGTACTTTGTTTTAAGCCCTTGGAGTTGGATGTATTGAAGCAGAAAAATTACTGAGGCAGAGATAAAGTGTTCTATGGAAAAGCTGAAAGAGTTCTTAGATGATAAGGTTAAAAGAATCTTTAGATTTAGAATTAACATATAATGAACGTCTTCAACAAATTTTTAATGTTTTAGTTATTTTTGTACAAAATGGCGTAAGAATGGGAGCCACCAATGATGATAAGTTTAGAAGAATCTTTAGGGATGTACATAGGTGAAATTAAAAAAAATCTAGAATTCAAAATAATACTTAAAGTCAGAAGAGCATTAGTTAAGAAACAAAATAAGCCAAAAATATTGATAAGTTATGGAGCTCCTTTTCGAGATATTTGATATTTAAAAAATGGAGAGAAAAGGCTTACTCGGAAAGAAAAGAAATTAAGAATCTGCTTAAATTTTGGTAAATGACCTTTTATGAGCTATTGAAGTAATATATGAAAAGAAAAATGGGTGTTATGAGGCAAAATATTTTATCCTGTATTGAAGGAAAAAATCGAAAGAATCTGAACATCTGACACAAATTCCTAAACCTCACCTAAGCACATAACTAAATTTAGAATTAATACGTGTCTTCAACATGTTCAACAAATTTTGCTTATTTAAGATATTGCGGTGAAATGAAATTCTGACCGAGTGGTAAATGAAGTCACAGTCATGTGCAATATTGATGATCAGTATTCAGTGGTAGACTTGAAATTCTCTGTTGTTCACAACTTAGTTTAAGAAATGATTAAGGTGGAACATAACACAACAGGGAGATAACTCTGTAAAAATCAGCTGAACGTTTTAATCACGTTCTATTGTAAAGGAAATATTAAGCTTCTCAATGATCAAAATTAGTGTTTGTCAAACTGCTATATATCCAATGAAATTATTCTGAGAAAATGTGTGGTTCAAGTTTTTTGAAATTTTTACATTTTTGTCAAAGGGTCAAAGTAAAATATTTTCTCAAAATTTTATGAAAATTAAACGAGCCAAATTAATTTTAGTCAAGGTGTTTGGTACCACCTTAATTACATAAAAAATTTAGAGAGGTAAGATAAATAATGGAAAAAGAATGTTGTTTTAATAAATTTCAGTGCATTACCTTTACAATGAAGAACATGCGAAAAAGTCCAAGGAAGAAAAGACGAAGTCCAAAGAAAAGAAAGGCCACTGAAAACAGTCCAACTAAAAGTAGTCCTGCCAAAGGTCAAGGAAAAGGGAGAAAGAAACTGAATCCTTCCAAAAATTCTGTTTTAAACTTGGATAGAATTAAATTATATAAATGTATTGCTATGCCGGGTGAACAGTAATCTGACATTTTTGTTAGACCCTTTTATCACATACTGAATTGTAAATATATGATGTTAATTTATCAGCATTTTTAAACTATAATGTAGATTAAGCTAGAGATTTTACATATATTGACTTGAAAAGCAGTGTTGTATATGATGTACTACAGTTATTTAACAATGAAATATTAAATTCTAATGCCACTAGAATTTAAGTAACCAACAATCAATCAATCAATTAATCAAATCTTAAGTATTGTGTACTAATTCAGCTGTAAAGATTACTTTTAAGAATGGATTTCCAGATAAGTGTTTGATTTAACATTTTCTGATAAAGACTTTATGTCATATATTATTTTCTATTCATTAACATGCATCTAAATTAACTTATAATTTATATTGCTATTTAAAAGTATAAGCTGTTTGTACATGTGTATTTGAATGCAGGAAATGTTTTTCTTTTCAAAAAAAAAATAAACATCAAATTGAATGTTTCTTACTTTATATTTTTGTCTTGTTGAAACATTTTCAATGCCTGTTTCTGGAAATTGGTATGTCAAACTTCTGTAAAAGATATGACTACACCTTCCTGTGCAGATTACTCCTTTTAATGCATATCAAGTTGAAAAATGTTTATAGTTAATAAGCATTGAACCTTATTTTATTTTATTGATGATATATTATATGTTTTAGTGGCATATAAGAAAAACACATAATGACAGATAAGTGTATTTATTTCTGGTGACTTGTTAGATATTTAGCTTTATTCTGAACTTTTTAAATCTATCACTTTTAATGTTTTCATTTTCTCCCAAATCAATGGACAATCTTCAACTAAATTATATGAAACAATAAATGAAAGGCCTTTATAAAATGTGCTTTAGTGATTTCTGTTGAATGACTATTGTGATCACCAAAGGCATATTTTTATATGTTGATTTTCATTTTTGGCAAAGTTACAGGTCTTCTGAGTCTTGGTTACATGGACAATTTTTATATTTTCTAAATAACAGTAACTCCGACTAAGCAGGAAAAAGTTTTGAATGTCCTTAATGCAAGTTTCTAATTTTGTTCAATTAGAATTAAAATCTCATGGTTTCAAGGTCATTGATTGATTAAAGTTACCCTAGCTAGTGTAAAGGACTATGTGAGCTGTTGTAAGTTATACAGACAATTCTTATAATCATGATCACTTCTAATGTAACAACGCCAAATTGAATTAAACTTGGAAGAACAGTGTATCAGCGATTCCAATCAGAGGAAAAGATGGCTGCCTTGGTACAATAGTTGATTGTAATTGGTCAGATTGAAAACTATATGATTCAACCTAGTGAAATGTTCTGAAAGTATGATAGATTGAGGACTGTTAGACCCTCTGTTAAAAGTCCAAAGTTTATGTTGAATTGATTACAGACATGACAGCATTGAAGGCATCTGGATCTCATTTATACTCGATAGAAAGTATGTCTGTAATTGTCTTCTCTGAAACTTCTGTGTCACATTTGGCAGAAATGATATATAAAAAATTATAGCATAAATACCGAACTCAAAGGTAATTTAAAAAGGGGAAGTCAATAAAAACTGAAAAAAATTAAAATGTTATCAACGAATGAACGAGTAAAAAATATCCATGACATGGTACAGGCATTTTCAAAGAAAATGGTGGCTTAAACTAAGTTTTATAGCTAGCTAAACCACCCACTTTTATGACAATTGGTAATGGTTCCATTATATTGACAAATTTGGGTGAGCAACCTATTGACACTATAGGTTAATGCGACAATGTTTGGGATCCAGCATCCAAAACTCTGTAAACATACATTGCAAAAGTACAACACAACTGACTTAAACATTCAAATAATAGGTTTTCTACAAATGATCACCATTTCGTTACAATCAGATGAAAAACATGGCTGCCAGAGGCAGCATTTGAATTAGATTGGCCATTTTCGAAAATCATCTGATTTGAAACTTTAAGGCAAACTATTTTGAAACCTTAGGAGATTGATTATGATCATTGAAAATCTCTTATTAATGATCCTTATTCAATATTTATTGTGTGGCATACATTGCAGCATTTGCACAATGGAGTTCCCATTGAAAATCACATTTCCCTCTCTGTAAGTTACCTAATTGGTAATTTTAAGGAAATTTTGCAGTTTTTTGTTATTATCTTGAATATTATTATAGATAGAGATAAACTGTAAGAGCAACAATGTTCAGCAAAGTAAGATCTACAAATAGGTCGACATGACCAAAGTTGTCAACTGACCCCTTAATGAGTTACTGCCCTTTATAGTCAATTTTTAACAATTTGTCGTAATTTTTTGTAATCTTTTCCAAAAATCTTCTCCTCTGAAACTACTGGGCCAAATTTAACCAAACTAGGCCACAATCACCATTGGGGTATCTTGTTAAAAAAATATGTCCGATGACACCGCTTACCAACCAAGATGGCCCACATGGCTAAAAATAGAACATCGGGGTAAATTGCAAGTTTTGTCTAATATTTTGAAAACCTTTATAAATAGAGAAAATCTGACATCGCAAAAAATATTCAGAATGTTTAGCTCTACTAATTGCTCATTTACGTCAAAACTGTCAAACGACTTCTGATGGGAGTTATTGCTCTTAAATGACAAATTTTACAATTTTTTTTCCATTTTAGCCTATTATCTTGAAAACTATAATAGATAGAGAGAAACTTTAAATTGCAAAAATGATCAGCAAGACAAGTTCTACAAATAAGTTAAATGGCCGAAATCATCAGTTTTCTCCTTATTAGTGTTTTTTTCCCTTTGATGACGGTTTTTACCAGTTGTTTACGTTTTTGCCTTATGTCTTCAAAATTATAATAGATAAAAACTTAATTACCACAAATGATAAGCAATACAAGATCTACATTTAAGATGGAATGAAAGAAGTCGTCCGACGACTCCTTTTTGGAGTTATTGCCTTTTAATGTCTATTTTCCATTGCCTGTTAACTTTTACAAAAAATATCTCGGCCAAATTAAACCAATTTGACCACAGTCATCATTGGAGTATCTAGTTTAAAATATGCGTTCTCTGACCCCTCCTGCAAACCAAGATGGCAGACATGGCTGAAAATAGAACAAATTTTGTCTATTACTTTGAAAACCTTTATGAATAGAGAAAATCTGACAGGGGCAATGTTTGAGAGTGTCCTTTGTGAATATGTACTTAGACAAAGGTGAGCGACACAGGCTATTTAGAGACTCTAATTTACAAATGTAGTGGTGTTTCTATATACGCAAATTTGTCACTTGATGTTTATTTTATAGAATGACGTGACAAGTGATATAATTGCGGAAAACATGCATTTGACTATCCCGACTCTAGCCTCATCGGCAGCGACACCTGAATCTCATCAACTCAAGTACAACGAGGAATTTGACAAGTATTCATTATACATTTTTCTGTAATTGGACACCATCATTACAGGTAGAAATAAAAAAAAAACGCTTTTGTTTTTTTAGCAGTTTTGGATTTTTTCAAGTGTTACTTGATATTAATGTATTTTTTTCCCAATTAGGTCGAACTATGCATTATATCTAACAAAGTTGCATAGGGTATAATGTTTTTGACCCGTCCGTTCGTCTGTCCGTCCCGTAACAGGCTAAAAATTAGGTTTGCGTTAGGTTGAATGTATGTGTTAACGTAGTCTATGCAGTCATGTTCACAACAACGCGAAAAACTTTGTACACATGTTCATTATGATAAAAACGTTTTAAAAAAATATGCTTTATAAAGGTTTTTACCCAGATTATGTTGTTTGCTGAACACGGAAAAGTATTGGGTAAAAGTTTTGGTTTAAGACAGATTACCATAAAATTGTTGTCCCATCAACTTGCAACTTAGTACACGTATTCATTAAAGTGTTAAATTTTGAAATATATGACAAATTACGGTTTTTATCTTATAGACATATAATAAACAAAAGGGATTCACTATTTTGTACCTTGTCCAGTTTCCAAAATTGTGACTAGAAACTTTTAGTTGTACATTTTACATATGCCTTTGTATTCTAGTTTTGACGATTTTCCGAAATCCCTGTTTGTCCTATACTTTTCAGAAAATCTTTTCAACATACTAGTATATATGCATGTAATGTCTATTTAAAACAAAACTGGAATACTATACTTGAATTTTAAATTATCACGATTAACCTTTAAACTGTAAATTGATAACCATATTCTAAAATGACCGGGTTACAATTGGGTTATCTCAATCAAACCAGAAAATACATTTTTGAGAAATTGCGTTAACAGAACACTATATATTGTTTTACTTTGTCAATAATTATTTATGTAATTATTACGTTTAGTGAGGGCTATATGTACGTTATTCCATTCTGAGTAGATTTCTTCAATTTGATTGAAATTTGCGTTTATAATAAACAAATTGTAAAACCGCATAGATGGATTCCAATCGTACTGATGGTGACAAATCGGTAGTTAAAAAAGCCCACAAGGTAAATCAAAGAAGCTACGTATACACAACAACAGTTTTTTTTAATGCTGTCTTCATAATTCTTTCCGACTTTTACATATGCTTGTAAATATTTAAATGAACCGTGACATGGTTTCCTTTGATAGTGAAAGTCACTTTAAGTCGTTATAGAAAACTTTTTAATAAATTGTCATTGTGTCACATTATTATATAGACGTGTTAGGAAAGTCATTACGATTTTGACGCTGATGTTAAGAACCAATACCACTACAGGCTTTAGTGGGGACCATCTCAAAAAGCACAGATAATCATTCATTATAGTTACCTGTATGAGTTTGTTAGATAATGCTGAGATGATTTTTAAACAATAAAATAGTAACAATTTATTCCGCAATACACGGACGAGGATCCAGTAAAACAACACGAACATTGTTCTTGCATTGTGTCATAGTAGGGATCGATTAAGTTTAAGATCGTAGTTCCCCAATTTCTTACTATTTTGTTGAACAACTACAAGGAAAATCTACAAAGTGATCAAAATAAATGAATAGAAAAAATCACAGGAATCAAATCACATTCAATCCGATTTTTTACTTTACATCAATCT